GGTGAGAAGAATATCAAGAATCAGTTTCTTCCGATATTTGTTCTTTGTTTATTTGTTCTAAGTTGATAAATGTTTATATCATATAATATATTCATTCTGTTCTTTATTCAACTTTTTCGGTATTTTAAAATATTTTAGGAATTTCTATCTTTTACGACATCATCATCAGCAATTGATTTTGGCGAAGTACTGTTATCTGTATCCTGGTTAGAACTCATAGATAAAAATCAACTTCCCTAATAATACGAGAAACTTTCGGGCGGTTTGATTTCTCTAATGTTTTATTAATATGAGGTTTCCTACTTATTGTTTTAGTCATATTAGGAACATTTTTCTTCTCATCTTCCATACAATTTGATTTTATGTCACTACTTTTCTGAGGTATTTTAAAATATTTTAGGAACTTTCTATCTTTTACGACATCATCATCAGCAATTGATTTTGGCGAAGTGCTATTATCTGTATCCTGGTTAGAACTCATAGACAAAAAGTCAACTTCCCTAATAATACGAGGAACTTTCGTACGGTTTGATTTCTCTAATGTTTTATTAATATGCGGTTTGCTATTTATTGTTTTAGTCATATTAGGAACATTTGCCTTCTCATCTTCCATACAATTTGATTTCAAGTCACTACTTTTCTGAGGTATTTTAAAATATTTTAGGAACTTTCTATCTTTTACGACATCATCATCAGCAATTGATTTTGGTGAAGTGCTGTTATCTGTATCCCGTTTAGAACTCATAGACAAAAAGTCAACTTGCCTAGTAATACGCGGAACTTTCTGACGGTTTGATTTCTCTAATGTTTTATTAATATGAGGTTTGCTACTTATTGTTTTAGTCATATTAGAAACATTTTTCTTCTCATCTTCTATACAATTTGATTTCGAGTCACTACTATTCTGAAATTCCGGATTTCTTGCTGTTTTCTTTATTAAACCACGTAATTCCTTTCTAAAGTCTACATTTTTATTTTTCTTCATTGTATTGGTTTTATTAATATCATCAGTTTCTGAAGAATTTTTGTGTGATTTTTCCTGATGTTTTTCTTTGTAACGTTTCTTACGTTTTTCTCTAATTATATACTCATTGCCATTCGTACAAATACTATCATTTTTATAATTTCCGTCAGTCTTATTGGAATATTCAGTTGATTTTCGCCGCGAAGGACAAAATTTCTCTGATTTGTTTTCACTTGAACAGTACTTTCAGCAGGAACGTATTTGTTAAAAGACCAATTTTCATTGCTTGTTGCATTGATTTCATTTGCGAATTTGGTTTTTTTCTCAGAATATGATTTATGCTTATTCTTTACACGTTCAAGATTTATTTCAACGTTCTTTGTTTTGTCAGATTTATCAGAATGCCTTTTGAGCTTTTTTCTTTTGTCTAATTTAATATTGTTTTCAGTAATATTTGTGTTGATATTTTGATCATTAATAAAATTATTAAGCGGAGAACTTTCCTTAACATGGCAAAAATTTTTATCATTCGATGAACTAGAAGATCTTGAATTATTATCCAATATTGCTTCGGTATCCATATTAAATTCTTTAATGTTTTCTTCAACTACATTTCTATTAAAAAAGTCATATAAGTTATTACCATCCTTTTTCAAAGGTATTTTGTTTTCTACATTTAAATTGATTTGATGATTTTCACTAATAATATTGTCTTCTGTATTATTCTTGACTTGGTCTGTGAAAGGCGATTCGGCTAAGTCAAGTTTTGTATTCAGTTTTAGTAAGCTTTTATCATATTCTAGGCTATCTTTTAATTCATCAATGTCGTTATGTATATTCTTTTGTTTCTTATTTGGATAATTTAAATCCGTTTCTGTAGATAATTTTCTCTTGATTGATTCGTTTGTCGCATTGCAATGTAATTTATTCGCCTTATCAATATTTTTACTTTTTGGTAATGACTGATTGCTGATAGGCTTAGTATTCAACGAGAGCTTACCATAGTGATTATAAACTTCTAAATCATATTTAGAATTCAATTTGTCATTAAATTCAAAAGTATTATTTTCAATTATTTCTATATTCTTCCAAAATTCTACACTATCTGACGGGTTGGCGTATGGAATTCTTAAGGGAGAATTGCAGTATTTTATTTTCGTAACTGCATTTTCATTATCGCAGGATGTTTGTAAATTATTAATAGATACATTCAACTTCATCTCCTGCATTATTTCTGTAATATTTTGAGTACTTTTATCACTTGCACAGGATTCAAAATGAACACCCAAATTCGGAACATCTTGCGTAACTTCACCATTAGCTCGATCATCTGATATATTAGAGATACACTTATGCATTTTTGGATCAATATTTTCATTTCTTGCCTCATCAAGAGCTAAAAGATCATCATCGGATCTATACAGTTCGTCTATTTTTATAAAGCTCTTGTTCGAGAGTATAGAGGAACAAAAGGTAGAAAATATTTTGGACCCTAATTCAATATTCTTTTCGAATACACTTTTGCTATTTTCCGCATGTAAAACAATAGTTGCAGATGCAGAAAATAGAGCTCTGTAAACAATGCTAGTGTTTCTATTATTATTACACATGTGAGATTTGATTTCGTTTCTACTGAACTCCTTAAGAGATAAAATTAGCAGCGTATCGTCAAAGATTAATCCAATATTTTCTATTTGCGTATTATTTTTATTTATACTGTATGATGAACTATTAAATAATGAAGAAAATAAAATTTCGTAAACGTTAGTAGAATTTTGTTTGTCTACTATTCCTACATTATTATTAATGAGACTCTTTTGTACGCAAGGAATTGTACCTATAATGTCCAAATGATTATTATATAAATCTGAAAATCCTATTTTCGAATTGGTTTCGAAAGCTGATACATAAGCAGCATTTGATTTTTGTTCCAATACCTTTGTATTCAAATTAGCACTAGAAGCTGGTGAAATAGGCAAGTTTTGCTTGAAGAATTCATGCTTTAATAAGTTATTATCTTCAGATAAATTCATATATTCAATAGATTCATCAGCATCTTTGGTTGTGCTTACATTATTGGTGTTTAAACTATCTCCAATGGAAGATATTGTAGCAGGAGATGTATCAATATCATTAATGTTATCGGGTTCAACAGTACTTTTGTCAATAAAGTGTGATTTTGATATATTTTTTGCTTTTTGTTCTGTCTTTACTTCTGATGGATTCTCTTTGATACTACCTAGTTTGACTGCATCTTCGATATGCAATAGTTGTTTTTGTAAATATTCTCTAATACTTTCCTCTAAATTGCATTTCAATTTTATTTTGACTTGAGTTGTCGCTTTATATACTTTACCTAAACTATTTTGTTGGTCAAGTAAATCAAAAATATAAAATTGATTATTTATATTATCAAAATCATTCCACTTTGCATCAGGAGGCAAAAGCAAAAGGATAGTTTTAATCGTTGATACTTGCTCCATTTTCAGTGAATCACAATCGTCTTCGAAATTTCTATTTATATTCTGGTGACTAGATACTGGCTTTATATCAATAATTGATATGCATGAAAATGATGTAGAATTTTTTAATTTTGGTGATAGCTCACCTATATTAGTATGAATTATGTCTTGAGCTTGGCCACCGTTTTTATTTTCCGTATCAATTGCATTTAATTTTTCCCTATGCGCTCTACTCAAATAAATTTTAGCCAAAATTTTATTCTTTGTCGAATCAGTCTTCTCTGAACAAACTTTTGACTTTGTTGGATGCTTCGAATGGCATTTTCAATTTCAAGTTGCTTAGTAACACTTCTAGTATGCCGTTTATATTCTGATATAGGTAAAACGGATATTTCCGTAACGCGATTTTTCCTATATTTTACTCGCATTACGTTCGTAGCTACTTCATTTTACTTAGATAAACACTGCGATATGGAGATTTTTTATTAAATTCTTATCCCGTTTAGAGATTATTTTATTGTAAGCCTTGTAAGAATTTTTGCACTTCCATGGAGCAGTCTTAGATGCAGTTTTATTCTTTGGTTTAGTATACTGTTTAAGAAAATTAGTTCTTCTGCGGGGGTTTGGTTTTGTCTCGTTTTGACTATGCATGGCGATATTAAATCTGGCGATTTTGAAGGACTTGTTTCTGATGACTTATTAGTATTATTAATACTAATGTGATCTAATACTTTAGAGTTTGATTTTGTCAATTTTGCGAAATCAATTTTAGACGTTGATATACTACACTGGAGACTAAAATCATTCAATATTTCCTAAGAGCTGTTCATCTACATTTGCCGTGAGCCTAGATTTAGCATTGCCTTCATTTCATTCAAGATCCAATATTTCATCTTTTTTAATATCATTAATTTTAGTGTTTTTCTTTGGTATTAAATTTTTCCTATATTTGAAAAATTTGGTTGGAACAGGCAAATTACTTATTGAACAATCCGTATTTTTGTCGTGAGCAATATTTGATGTACCCAACCGAGAACTTCGTTCAGATTCTCGAGCAATGTGTTTCTTTTCTAATTTATCTTTTAAATGAAATCGATTGAAAAACTCTCTTTTTTTCAAATAAACTTTGCTCTTTCCTGAGTTTGATTTTTCTTGGGGATATTTATTAGACAAATGAGCTGTTTTGAAGCATCGGTTTGAAGTTTAAAATTTAAATTTCTGTTAAATGATTGATAATTACTCAAGATATCGTGAGTTTGACAGCATTTGATATGTTTTCGTCTATCGATTTATTTATATCAGGTAGATTCTTCATATACGCCAATTCTTCAACACTGCATGATTCCAATGCCTTGGGTAGAAAATGAACACCCGCCAATCTCTTAACAGAAAACTGATCATTTTTTGCAGTATCACGATTTTCTGAAAATAGAAATATATATCTAAATTATATTGCATTTTATTTTTTATAAGTTTTATTATATCAAATTTTTCAAAAAATTATTAGTATACAACCAATACTTAAAATTAACTTAATAATTCAATCACAAATCTTACCTTTTGTTTCAGAGAATTCAGGAACTTCTGAGTTTTTATTATCAGCAAAATTTTTAGGCTCCTTAGGGATGACGGTAATCAATTTTTTATTATGTTCATCTTTGCTTGTATTTGATTGTAGATCGATTAATTTATCCAGTTTCGAATCCGGTGTACTTTGCGCACCTAATTGCTTAGAATTAAAAAACAAACGGCTCATATTTGAATTTTCATTAGAAAAAATATTCAAATTTGGCAATGAGTTTTTTTCTGGTATATGAGGGTAACTTTTGGAAGACTGTACTTGTTCTTTACTTCCTATAATTTTTATCCTGTTATCACAATTTAGATCAAATGTATTTTTACGTATAGATCGCAAAGGCGATTTAGGGCAAGCTTTCTGAATTTCATCCTTATGTACCGAAGCATTATTCACAACTTGCAATGCAGTTTTATACTCATCTTTATTCATTTCTAATGCTGTAGTCTCTTTTCTATTGATGCCATTGTTGAAATTTTTTGCAACTCTTGTGTAATCATAGCCATTGTTAATTTTTCTTTGATTTTCTCTCATTGTCAGGCCGAAATCGCTAACAATATCATTCCTCGGTATTCTTGATTGCTTGAAAATATTATTCGTTGGCAAAGATGAAGTTTGATTAGTGTTTGAAACCATTCGGTATCTATTTGTATTACCAGATGGAATATGTGTAAACATCATATTGTTGTCTTCACGAATGCTATCAGAATAAGATTTTAGAGCTGCGTGATCCCTTGATGTTCTCAGCAAGTTATGTGAATTTAAACGAGTTTCATTTACATTATTTGTTAATATTTTGTGAATATTTTTATCGCTGTAAATATTGTGAGAGTTTACATCATTTCTGCCAATTGAATGAGAGTGAGAATTTACATCATTTCTGCCAATTGAATGAGAGTAAGAATTTACATCATTTCTGCCAATTGAATGAGAGTAAGAATTTACATCATTTCTGCCAATTGAATGAGAGTGAGAATTTACATCATTTCTGCCAATTGAATGAGAGTGAGAGAATTTACATCATTTCTGCCAATTGAATGAGAGAGTGAGAATTATATCACTTCTGCCAATTGAATTTGAGTGAGGATTTACATCATTTCTGCCTATTGAATGAGAGTGAGAATTTACATCATTTCTGTCAATTGAATGAGAGTGAGAATTTACATCATTTCTGCCAATTGAATGAGAGTGAGAATTTACATCATTTCTGCCAATTGAATGAGAGTAAGAATTTACATCATTTCTGCCAATTGAATGAGCCTGAGAATTTACATCATTTCTGCCAATTGAATGAGAGTGAGAATTTTACATCATTTCTGCCAATTGAATGAGAGTGAGAATTTACATCATTTCTGTCAATTTGAATGAGAGTGAGAATTTACATCATTTCCGCCAATTGAATGAGAGTGAGAATTACATCATTTTCTGCCAATTGAATGAGAGTAAGAATTTACATCATTTCTGCCAATTGGATGAGAGTGAGAATTTACATCATTTCTTCAATTGAATGAGCCTGAGAATTTACATCATTTCTGCCAATTGAAGAGAGTGAGAATTTACATCATTTCTGCCAATTGAATGAGAGTGAGAATTTACATCACTTCTGCCAATTGAATTTGAGTGAGGATTTACATCATTTCTGCCAATTGAATGAGAGTGAGAATTTACATCATTTCTGCCAATTGAATGAGAGTGAGCATTTACATCATTTCTCCCAATTGAATGAGAGTGAGCATTTACATCATTTCTGACAATTGAGTGAGAGTGAGCATTTACATCATTTCTCCCAATTGAATGAGAGTGAGCATTTACATCATTTCTGACAATTGAGTGAGAGTGAGAATTTACATCATTTCTGCCATGATGAATAAAATTTGCAGAAGTATCCCAAGTAACGTTTCCTTGTCGATGAAAAGAACTGAAACTTGGCACATTATAAGGCGGAAAATAGTTATGCCGAGCCTGTAAGCCATTCACATTTGCTACATATTCTAAAAAAATATTAGTATCATTGAGGATGAATGGGGAAAAATATTAAAAATGTAATATTTACCATTGTATATAGTAGGATCATATACGAAAGCTGCATTTCTGGCATGAGGGTGTGATACATTTGTAGAATAGGTTTGTGAGAACTTAGGTTTGGCAACATTTAGTTGACCAGTTCGATAGATGCCACGATTTTCTAAAAATATAAACAAATATGACATGTTTTTATAATACCATATGATATTAACTTCTTAATTTTTTCCTTGCCTTTATTAAAATCCAATTGACATGTGTTATGCTGACCATTCACCACAGCATGCGGTTGTGCAATTGCGACCGTCAATGGCGCAGTATAGATTGATTTACTGTTTACTACTTTTGTCTCATTTCTTGAATATTTGTTAAGTTTTCTTGTATTACGCCTCTTTAACTGTTCCTTGAAAACTAAACTGTCATCAATTTTTCCCAGTTGTTCGTTTTTTGATGTATTTGGGAATATCTCGTGAACGTTTGCTGGTGGATCAAAGTTATTAGAAATTTGTAAGCGATTAGCATAGGGTTGCAAAGTATTTAATGACAGATCTGATGTAATTGGTTTCTGGAATTTATTGTAATTTTTGTGTCTTGTAATATTCAAGCTAGGTGTTTTATCTGCACCATAAAAGAGAAGCACATTGTTATGTGGATTAGTACTATAATTCACAACATTATTGTCAAATTTGTCAGATTGTCCAAAATCCTCCGTGGGATGTAGAGTTTTATTCCACATGTCTCTATAATAATTTGGTTCTTCTTGCATAATTATTTCATTACTCAAGTTTTCAATTCTACTATCCTTTGTAGAAAACAAATTTTCAGATTGAGCATCACTTCTTATTGACCGTTCATGATTATCATTTGTATTCTTCATATTATTTTGCTGACCCTTCTGCTTAGATGTAGACAATTTTGTATTTTTGCGCAATAAACTTTCATCAGATGTACTAATATTACGAACCTCTGTGGAATGTAGAGTTTTATTCCACATGTCTCTATAATAATTTGGTTGTTCTTGCATAATTATTTCATTGTTCAAGTTTTCAATTCTACCATCCTTTGTAGAAAACAAATTTTCAGATTGAGCATCACTTCTTGTTATTCGTTCATGATTATCATTTGTATTCTTTATATTATTTTGCTGACCATTCTGCTTAGATATAGACAATTTTGTATTTTTGCGCAATAAATTTTTGTCAGATGTACTAATATTACGCTCAACTTGTCCATTGTTCTGCATAAGAAGCTTCACATCTATGTTATACTTATTAGGTATAATCAAATCTTCTATTATGTGAAATTTTGGCGCAGATGTATTTTCATTAACAGAATTAGTTTGAATTAAGCCTTTTTCGGGTAATATATCACGTTCAAGCTTTTTTCCAGTTTTTCCAAAATTAATTGATTTATTTTGAACACCAAGTTGTCCGGTTGCAAATGGTAGATGCAAATTTGCTTGCTCGACTTGGATCATAGCTTTGTCATGTACATTTTTTCCTACGTAATTGTTTTCACGTTCAAGCTCCTTTTCGATTAGATTCAAATTTGTTTGCTCAACTTCGATCATTGCTTTATCAGGTATATTTTTTTCTACGTAATTGTTTTTACGTTCAAGCCTTTTTACGATTTTTTCTAAATTATCTGATTTATTCTGAACACCAGGTTGTCCGGCTGCATCTGGCAGATTCAATTTTGCTTGCTCGACTTCGATCATAACTTTATCATGTAAATTATTTTCAGTAGATGAATGGTTTGTTAAGCTAGGTTTGTTTTCTTTATTAAATACTTCTACATCTTTATTTGATTTAATATTATATTCTTTATTCATCACAGAATTGATTTCTTCAGAATTTTCGATTTCTTGCCTATATTTTAATAAATCATTTTTTAAGCAAGCTTTAAAACTCCTATCTATTTGATTTGTTTTATTAATATTATTTTGTGCTGACGAGGTATCAGTAGAAAAATTTTCTTCATTTTCCGTGTCTGAAAAAGATGTAATTGATTCTTCCGGTTTATTTTTTAATGTTTGTAAATTTTCTGATGTTTTATTTAAATTGGGATTGAAATTATTATCTGATGCTGACCGCTTATCGGTTTCATCATTAATCAAAATTGATTTATTATGACATAGTTCTTCATCTTTGGATTTATACTCTTCTGGAGGCACTGTGCTTATGGTCTTTTCCTCACCAATTCTAACTACTGCATCTTCCAGTGTTCTTGAAGATGTAGCGGTTGTATTATTGCACATAAGAGTATTTTTAATCAAACTATCATTATCTTGCTGTTGGAGATTTGTCATTTGAACTGCGTCAGTACAACAATTATTTTCTTGAAATCTACTATTATTCAAAAGGAGTTCATCATATTCTGATACGCATCTGTTTGATGTACTAGCAACATCCCTAGCGTTAAATTGCAGAGGATGTGTTTGCAATTTATGATTTGATCTTATTTTTGGCATTTCACCAAGTTTGGAATTGTCTCCTGCAAAAACGTCACCTGACAATAATACCTTATTCAACAAATTACTTTTGTTTTTATCAGTTGAATTACTTTGACGACCTTGGTTTGAATTTAATTCATTTTTACGATTAAGGTATAGGCGAGAAGCATTTTGAATATGTTGATGATATTTATGCTTTTCAAATGTACCTGATAGGCACGATTGTGATTCATTATATTGTGTATTAAGACAAGGCATATGTACTTCGAAAATTTTGTTTGACTTTACACAGAAATAATACTTATGCTTCTTTCTGTTGTTATCATTTAAAGTATTTAAAAAATCTATTAAAATCTCAAATTCAACATTATCGTTCATGATATTTTTATCGACAGAATTGGATTTATCTGATTTATTTTTCAAATTATTTGGCAAAATGCAATCATTGTGGATAATCACTTCATCGGCCTCACTTTGCACATTTGTATTATATAATCTGTTTTCAGTTGATGCAATTATTGAATTACTAAAAGAACTTAATGAATTTTCATTTAGTCTATCACTTTGTGCATCAGCATATTTTATTGCATTAGCATTTGAATTATTTTCATTAGATTCTTGATTATCCCGATTAAATGTAATAGAATCTTCTGAAACTTTGTCTTCATTTTTTTCATCGTTGATAGCACCATTATGATATATTTTGGAATGATTTATGTCATACATTTTATCATCTACTTTAGCATTTGTTATGATATCTATATCAGGATTTTTTAAGTCTTTTATGAATGCAGTTTTTTCGTTATTTATAAATCCATTAAGAACAATATATTTTTTGTTTGTATTCCTATTTTCATATAATACGTCCATATCATGGCCATTGATTGGGAAATTGGCAGTAGTTCCATTACTTTTTATAAATGAATCAGGTGGATTTGAAAATTTATACATTTGCGCTGGCGTTGGCTTGAATTCAATATCGTATACATTTTCAGCTTCTTCTTGAAAAAGTTCTCCAAACAGTTTTTCTTCCAAACTATCGTTTGTGATATTTTGACCATAGTCGGGATAGCAATTATTAGGAGTCTGATCGGGTTCACGAGAATGTTCCGTAGAAATACAACTTTGAGTACATTGTGTTTTGTCATGTGTGCATGATGAATTTAAAAATAATGACGGATTGATTCCGCATTTGGTTAAAACTTCGTGTACTACATCATCATCACTGCTAATTAGATTGGAATGGTTACAACCTTCATTATTGGAGTCATCTTCGTGAATTGTATTATTTTCTGGAATTATAATATCGTCAATGCTAATTTTCGTTTTGGATAATTGGTTAGTTTCTAATTTTTTTGCATTAGTAATTGTTGTATTATCAGTGTCACCATCTTTGACAAGAAATAAATTCATATTATCTTCTGTAAAGTTTGTATTATCATCAAGATTAATTTCCATCATCTCCCTCTTCCATTGACTCCATTGCCTATATACTCTTTCACCATGACTTTCATTGTTTTCTTTAGGAACCAATTGCTCGTCTTTTTGTGCCACCTCAGAAACATGCTCATCCACGCTTTTTTTTGCATCCAAATCTATGCTTTTAATTTCAATATTATTACAGATTTTGCTGTTCTCAATTTTGTCTAGAGCGGAATTATAATTTGTGTTAGCATTAGCGTTAATATTTATATTGGTAGAAGAATAAATCGGTTGATCTTGTGTGATTGTATTTTCATCTAGTATAGATTTTTTATCTTCATCATGAATATTGCTATGATGATTTACAATAGTAAGTTCATCCTCGCCATTGTCATCCCTTTCAACCGATTTACATTTATCATTCGTTTTTGTATTCAAATCACACAAAGATGGATCTACATTTTCCTCTTCATCACATGAATCAGAAGCTATGATATCGTAGTTGTTTTCGTTAGAAATCAATTGTTCGTCGTTTTGCTCGATTAAAGAAAAATGTTCACACTCTAATGAATTATCAAGAGATTCGAAATATTTGTTTTCATCTGTTAATTTGATATATTCTTCCTCCTTGACCAAACAACTAGTGCAGTTTTTATTGCATTCTATACCGCATTTTTCATCATGTTGCTCAACGACAGTATTTATTGCACTTCGATTATTATTTTGTATAGAGATACTACTATTTATTGAACTATTATTTTCAATATTTGAAGTGTCATTATTATGACTATTACATTCTTTTGAAATACTGACTGATTCATTTACGATATTGTCACATGGACCATCATTTTCTGTATTGCTGTCTACATTAAGATTATCATTTGTCATACATGTTTCTTTTATGCCGATCACTTTTTCTCCATCTTCAGACTGTTTTGTAAGTAATTCGATCTGTGTATCTGCGAAAAATAGAAATATTGCCTCTAATTCTAAAAAGCTTCATTAAAAAAAACCTGCGTGATTTCATCAAGTTTTTTCTTGCTGATATATTTTTGTGAGCGTGTGCCAATGCAAGTTCGTATAATTGAATGGAAAATGCTATAGATTTTCATTTAATACTATACTATACTATATATATAATTATTTATATATATATATATATATATATATATATACATAAATAATATAAAGGTCCGCGGGTAACAACCAATATATCAAAAACCCAAAAAAAATTTAAGGTCAATATTTAAAATTAGGGGGCAAAAGATGTATAATGAGCACAAATTATCAACTATTCATTATGTACGTTTTGTACAGTTGATTATTTATTGCTTTTTATTTTGAGTATTTGCCTGCAAAAAACATTTCAAAAATATGTTTCTACGTCGAACAAGAAATTCTTAAGCTCTTAAGTTCTTAAGAGCTCTTATATATATTTTATATATATATATATATATATTAAATTATAAATATGAACAAACAACACTCTTATAATATATTAAATTTGAAATATGAACAAACAACACTCATATATATCAATAGAATAAAAACAGACAAATCTAGTTTCGAAACGTTTGTAAAATTAATATTATTTAATAAATTAGTGCAAAAAAGAGTGAATCAGAATACATTTGTTATATATCTTATATAACTATATATATATATATATATATATATATATATATATATATATTTCATATATTTAGGATTTTAACTTTTTGCACTAAAAACCACCTTTTTCTCAAAAATATATATATCCAAAAATGACTATATTATATTATATTAAAAAGAAAAACATTTCATATCGAAACAACGAAGAAAATCTTTATAAATGATTTTTTTTTTGAAAAATGAAGAAAGCTTTTAGTTAAAAAAGATAAAATCATTATTAATAAATGACATTAAATTGAATGCCGAAACGTTTGGATTTAAAGATTAATTTATAAATCTTTGTTTTTTATACTTTGATATATTGCCCTACAAGAACTTACTCATATATATAATATATATATATGAAGTAAAACTTCTTTAACACGATTTCTCGAAGACATTACCAAGAACACATTATAAGCGAGAAAGCGTATTATGCGAGATGGAAAAATTATAGGATATTATTATTATAGTATTACTTATATCCTAATTTTTGTACTGGAAAAGTTCTTTGAAAAAAAACATAAAATCTTTGGCATTTATTGAAACTTAAATAAAGTTTCAAAGTGTTTTTGGTTAAAAACACTAAAGTTAAACTTAGTTTTGTTTTTGATAAAAACCGTTATTGCTTTAATCCACACGGTTTTTTTCCAATTTAAGCATAATCTATAAAAATGTATTTAATTATTATTTTATCGTCCTTAACAAAAAAATCATAAAACGCTTTTTATTAAACGAGAACTCCAGTACAGTAAGAAATGGTGTACAGCTTTAAAGTATTCAAAATTTGAAATTAAAACTTCAGGCATTACCTTAACAAATTTTAAACGATTGAAAAATAAGTAATACATACAAACGTTAGTTAGAAAAAAATTCAGAATCATCTTTATCACGATTGGTGGTGACACGACTTGAGCAACCTTATTCTAAGTAGGTACATATTAAATTTTACATGTGTAAATTACATTAAATATGTAGTGTAGTCTTAATTACGTTATTTAAGAAAATCACTAATTTAGGTTCGATAGACAGATTTTGATGCATTAGCAATTAGTACAGTTTCTGGCGTAACTTTTCTGACCTATCAAAATTAGCACCAGTCACAACGATCAGTCCCTATTTCACTTGCTTTATCAATATGAAAAATATGTTTCTTGAAAATATGTGATTTATCTGGCATCATTTTGAAAAATAAAGCAATAACAATATATTAATAAATTGTAATACGGCATTCGATTACCTAAAGATTTGATGGTGCGCAATACCGCTGCAATTTTTGAAATAGTTTAAAATAATTTTTAAAATGGAACGCATCATAGAAAGTGGTAAGTGAAGTTCAACTGAAAGCTCAACAAATAACTGAAAGTTTAATGTGCTTTCTGTGATTTTTTTAATATCTCAAAATTTTTTTGAATAATCAATTACAAACATTCCTTAGCCAGTGTCGTTGGTCAAATATGTTTTTTACCGGAACAGCTAAATTAAACCGGATCGGTTCAAAACCTATTCTCATATTTGTTCCGGTTCGAAAAGGCAAGAAACTCATTTTGTGCAAATATATGTTTTTGTTATGCTATATATATAAAATATAATAAACTAAGCTAATGATGTTCGGTCCGGGCTTCTTGCTTTTTGACAAAAATTAGAAAAAACTAGCTGTAAGTGGAATTCTGTCTTGAGGCAATTATGGCATCGTGCCTTAAGGCAAATTGCTGGAACTTCCCGTACCGTAACGAAATGTTCGAGGAATACTGAATGTTTCCAAATAGATTATTATAAATATTGTAACATTGTCTAATATTTATAAGAATTATATAAACTGAATTGCAGAGTTGAAATTATTTGTAATTTGTAATATTGTAACATTATTGTAATTATTTTCGATATACAAAAAAACTAAAAAAAAAAACTTATACAATTTTTTTTTCCAAAATCAATTATTTTCTTAAGACAAGCAGAAAGTTCTTTGAATCATTTAAATCGGACGCTTAGTTCTCTCAAAATGCCATTTTTTACATATTTAGCTCCGTATCTTGAAAATGGCTGGGCCTGCCTTCGCCAAAAACTAATAAACACTTCTCCCGATCATTACTAATTGAATGTTTTTTAGATCATTCAAATCGGATACTCCGTTCTCTCAAAAATTTGATTTCTATTTTCTGCACTCTTTGCTCCGTATCTCCGAAACGGCTGGACCTGCCTTCGCCAAAAACTAATCAGCTCTTTTCCCTATCAATAGGAATCGAATGTTTTTTGAACCATTCAAATCGGTTGATCCGTGCGCCCTAAAACGTGACTGGAAATTTGTATCCATACATACATACACACACACACACATCCATTTATTCTGAGGTATGCCAAAATGTTCAGAAACCTTCAAAACGTCGAGAAATGTAAAAATTTTCAATTCCGATTTTCGGCCCATTACAATAACTTACCCTACGGGAAGTTAAAAACGCGTTCCAGCTTGACAACACCACTGTCTCTATTAGCTTTCTTATGTAACAAGGTAATCAGTAACAGGCAATAGGATATTAAAATAATTTTTAACTTCCCGTAGGGTAAGTTATTGTAATGGGCCGAAAATTGGAATTGAAAATTTTTACATTTCTCGACGTTTTGAGGGTTTCTGAACGTTTTGGCATACCTCAGAAAAAATGGATGTGTGTGTGTGTGTGTATGTATGTGTGGATACAAATTTCCAGTCACGTTTTAGGGCGCACGGATCAACCAATTTGAATGGTTCAAAAAACAACCGATTCCTATTGATAGGGAAAAGAGCTGATTAGTTTTTGGCAAAGGCAGGTCCAGCCGTTTCAGAGATACGGAGCAAAGAGTGCAGAAAATAGAAATCGTATTTTTGAGAGAACGGAGTATCCGATTTGAATGATCTAATAAACATTCAATTAGTAATGATTGGGAGAAGTGTTTATTATTTTTTGGCAAAGACAGGCCCAGCCATTTTGAAGATACGAAGCTAAATATGTAAAAAATGGCAGTTTTTGAGAGAACTAAGCGTCCGATTTAAATGATTCAAAGAACTTTCTGCTTGTCTTAAGAAAATAATTGATTTTGGAAAAAAAATTGTATAAGTTTTTTTTTTTAGTTTTTTTGTATATCGAAAATAATTACAATAATGTTACAATATTACAAATTACAAATAATTTCAACTCTGCAATTCAGTTTATATAATTCTTATAAATATTAGACAATGTTACAATATTTATAATAATCTATTTGGAAACATTCAGTATTCCTCGAACATTTCGTTACGGTACGGGAAGTTCCAGCAATTTGCCTTAAGGCACGATGCCACCCACCCCACTAGTTTTTTCTTAATTGGACGTGTACGCCGTTCTGCATGATATTTTTATAATTACTGTCCCGCAGGCCGATGCAATAAACAGAACTGTGCAGGTTCGTCATTTTTGGCAGGTGATGTAAAATTACTCCATCATAAAATTTCGGTTTGCATTACTATTAATGACTGATTTTAAATCGTGTTCATCTCATTTTGTTTCAAATTCATCAATCTTTCATAATATGTAACAATTTTTGTGATTGCTAATTTGTATCAATAGTAAGGTGACCATATTTTTTTAAGTCCACCGGGACGGTGGAATGTCTGCTAAATAACTTAAATATAATTTTAAAAAAAATAAAAAATAAATAATATTCAAGAATACAATAAAAAAGCTTTTCTTAACGAATTAATTTGTTTTCTAAATCATATTTACGAGCTTCTAGTAACATCTTTACTTTTCGATTATATGCTATAGTTTTCTCTTCTTTTACATATGATGTTATTATCTTATATTTATCGATTCATATGTTTTTTAACTTCCCGTAGGGTAAGTTATTGTAATGGGCCGAAAATCGGAATTGAAAATTTTAACATTTCTCGACGTTTTGAAGGTTTCTGAACGTTTTGGCATACCTCAGAAAAAAATGGATGTGTGTGTGTGTGTATGTGTGTGTGTGTATGTATGTATGGATACAAATTTCCAGTCACGTTTTAGGGCGCACGAATCAACCGATTTGAATGGTTCAAAAATCATTCGATTCCTATTGATAGGAAAAAGAGCTGATTAGTTTTTGGTAAAGGCAGGTCCAGCCGTTTCGGAGATACGGAGCAAATAGTGCAGAAAATAGAAATCGAATTTTTGAGAGAACGGAGTATCCGATTTGAATGATCTAAAAAACATTCAATTAGTAATGATTGGGAGAAGTGCTTATTAGTTTTTGGCAAAGGCAGGCGCAGCCATTTCGAAGATACGGAGCTGATTATGTAAAAAATGGCAGTTTTTGAGAGAACTAAGCGTCCGATTTGAATGATTCAAAGAACTTTCTGCTTGTCTTAACAAAATAATTGATTTTGGAAAAAAAAATTTGTTCCTATTGTTTTTTTTTTCTTTTTTTTAGTTTTTAGTATATCGAAAATATTTCAGATTTGTTGTTTTAATTCTGACTATAGTTCTAATATACTTAACAAATAATTTCAACTCTGCAATTCAGTTTATATAATTCTCATAAATATTAGACAATGGTACAATATTTATAATAATCTATTTGAAAATATTCAGTATTCCTCGAACATATCGTTACGGTACGGGAAGTTTCAGCAATTTGCCTTAAGGCACGATGCCATAATTGCCTCAAGACAGAATTCCACTCACAGCTAGTTTGCTTTTGAATCTAAAATTCTGTTGAGTATAAAATTCTGTTCAATTCTCTTCTTAATTAATTTAAAAAATTAGCACTTGTGCCAAGTGATAAAGCTAGTTTTCCTAATTTTGAAAAGTTAGAATTTATTAATGTGAGAGGCTGTATTATCCCGACTTTGGAAATTTGTATTCGGCAATTTTCTCATTCATAACGTATTGTTGCATATAAGCATACTCATTGCATATATCATTTTCAAATATTTGAAAAATGAATAGTTATAATTCTATTATCGCAAAGCTTCAATTTAAACCTGTACTCTTCGAAAACCCGGGACAATCTGGGACAAAAAATCTAAATCCGGAAAAATATTGCTCTTAGAAAAACCCGGGATATAAGGCGAAAATCTGCCGGACTATCGCGGCCAAACCGGAACGTATGATCATTAATTTATTAGTCATCTTGATTAATGTAAAAAAGCACATCTGGGGTTAGTTGAAACAAAACCTTGGGGTTAGTTGTAACATACAAAAAATATATACAGAATCAAGTGAAGCAGATTGAATGCAATGTTTAGTTTGTAAACTATGGCTCATATAAATTGTGTTAAGGCGACTTTAAGGAGTCGATTCAGCCGTAAAATAAATCAATGTTATGACAAAAGACTATGTTATTATGTTAAGCAGATTTATAGACCTTATAACTAAATTGACTGCTAGTCGAGGCCCACGACTCGAGGGCAAAATAAATGCATAAAGATGGAAAGGGACTGTGACGTCACTTGCTGAACGAGTGTAGCCGACAATCGTAGAACTCTTCCGATTAATTAAATGTCATATGTTAATTAAATTAAATCTTGTGCTTGAAATTGATAAATTATTGTAGAGAAAAAATCTGTCGATGTAGTTTAACACTGGTTCCTAAAACACTCTCGAATTATTAAACGTCATTGGCTTGAATGATTAAATGGCATTGACCTTATAATACATAAACCGATTTTAACAGATTGATTCGATTATATGTACATTCATTTCATAGACAAAATATTATTATTAATATAATTTCTTACAAAATTATCAGTGTTCACAATTGCCATTATGTTATTAAAGTAAAACATACGACATATGACATTTAATCAATCGGGAGAATCTACGATTGTCGGCAATGCTCGTTCAGCACGTGACGTCACAGTCCCTTCTATCTTTGTACACTTTATACAATTGAAAACATATGAGAACTAGCAGTCCATGTAGTATAAGGTCTATGAGCAGTTTTCATATAAAGTAGTACTAAAAACTGTCAAAATCCTGTGTGGTAGCAGTGCAGTCAGGTGTTTCAGACAGAAAATTTTACAAAGAAAACACAAAATGTCAAAAAAACGATTTATCATAACTGGATCTTTGAGATGTGATTTGATAACATATGAGTGAATTTGCATTTTATGTGTAAAACGCCTGAGCGCACAGCAAATACATGGCATTTTGACTGTATTTAGTAGTATTTTGTATAAAAACTGGAACGTAACACAGCCTTGCCAGAACATTGGTCTATTTTAGTGAAGAATCGGCCTATATATCTTTTATTTGTACGGTGATATTAATTGCAGTTCACGTTGATTTATGATAAAAA